TGTCGCTAACTCCAGTTAAACGTGTTTGTTTCGTGGATCATATGTCGCTAACTCCAGTTAAACGTTTTTGTTTCGTGGATCATATGTTGCTAAGTCCAGTCAAACGTTTTTATATTGTGAATTGTATGTCGCTAAGTCCAGTTTAAACGTTTTTATATTGTGAATCATATGTCGCTAAGTCCAGTTAAACGTGTTTGTTTCGTGGATCATATGTCGCTAACTCCAGTTAAACGTTTCTTGTTTCGTGATATCGCATGTCGCTAAGTTCGTTTATGATACACCGAGAACTGTAAAGCTCAAAGTAATGTTGTTTTTACTGTCCTTTCTTCATCAGAGGTAAACTGGGAAGGTTAGTCCCTGATGAAGAATGGTCCACCTGTCGAAAGCGCTAGGATTATATGGTTTCGTATTTATGTCAGTAATAGAGTTTTTGAACCTACCTGTTATCCTGTTTATGTTCTTGTTCTGACTTTGTCAGACAAACCTATTCAACTACTTGTCGTGCTGTCAGACTTACAGAAACATAATGAGTTTGTGGTACTGAGAAACATTAAGAGGCATCTTTTATGTAAAAATCACAAATGACAACCCATTCAGACAACTGCCCATGACAAGATGTTGTCACTCCCCCATTGGCGGCACAGCGGTATGTCTGCGGACTTGTACTGCTATAAACAGAGTTTCGATACCCGTGGTGGGCAGAGCACAGATAGCTCATTGTGTAGCTTTTTGCTTAATTTCAGCCAACCAAACAAAGTCTCCCAGTGGTACAGCGATATGTCTGCGGACATATACAGCTAAAAACCGGGTTTCGATACCCGTGGTGGGCAGAGCACAGATAGTCCTTTGTGTAACTTTGTGCTTAATAACAAACAACAACGATAAAATGTTACTGTTGAATAGAGAGAGAATTTTTCTAAAAAGGTATCTTAAGGAACACGCTTGAGTTAGTTAACTAATTTCCAAAATAACTTTAGTTAACTTAATCGCTAAGCAAGCTTTGTAACTTTTTGTAAATTTACAAGAACCAACTACCTTAGTAATACCGTGGAATCTTCAAGGTAGCTGGTGTAATATTTAAGATAAATCTAGTCACGTAAGCCCAAAGATCGTTTTATTTTGTTAATCTCGTGTATCCTGTATTTAATCTTTAAGATAATCATCTGCTTAACCTGTAAAATAACTTTGTATTTCAGATCGCTTAAGGTGTCAGTTGAAGAGTTTCACTATTTTCACAAGTATACAAAACGAGCGCCCTTTTTATGCCTCCCTACAAAACGAGCGCCCTTTTTATGCCCCCCTCCCTTAAAGCGTATACATAAAATGTCGGTTTTTTTATTTATTTTTATTTTCTTGGATTTTACGTAAAGCTACATCATGGCCGTCCCTAATTTCGACTAGAGAGAGGGGATCTTTCTAGTCTATATCACCCACCGCCAACTCTTGAGCTACTCTTGTCATATCTAATAGTGAGACGATATTCTTATATTGCACCCACAGCCTCAAAGCGCGAGTTTTTTTTTGTGTGTGATATTGGGGCGCAAACCGCGGAACCTCAGCCCCACAATCCGGTAGGTTCACCACTGGGTCGCACTCGGTCCGTTTTAAAAGAGATATTATCCACAAAATCTGCGGAACTTGCTCCGGGACAATATTTCACGAGTTATTTATGGACAGCTTATGGTGTATTTTGGAAATTTCTGGAAAAACGCACACTAGCTCCTAATCGCCCAATATAAATGTTGTACACTCGTGAATAATTTGTTTGTTTGAAGTTTAGCACAAAGCTACCCAATGGGCTATCTGTGCTTTGCCCACCATTGGTATCGAAACTCGGTTTCTAGCTTTGTAAGTCCGCAGACATACAGCTGTGTCACTGTGAAAAAGGCGAACATTTTGAACGACCTAAAGTTCACAATAGTAATAGTATTAACTCAGTATGTATGTATATATACACACACACACAAAGATATAGATACACATATATGTATTTGTATTTTACAATTAAACTGTAGCTGCGTCATTATAATTAAAACTGATTACACTCCTTATCAGTTGCTGGTATGAAGAGTTTTTTTAAACATTGATCAAACGGTTTGTTTGTTTTGGAA